TTTTTCATTTGTTGATCTTTCAGAATAAATACATCTGTTAATTACTCTATTTTTATGTTGTGCTAATTTTCATCTTTTTTCCATCTATTGCTTTTTGATACAGGCATTTTATAGTGACATGCTTCTATTCAATTATTTTATGTCCCACAACTCTCCTAAGAATTGCCTTAGATTAAAGTGAAGGGGCATAGACACAGTGATGCTGCCACTTTAAGAGTGTCGATCAGATTCCCTCTCATTGGGTGATGTAAATGGTTGCTGTGCACCAATAGGATTCAGAACTGTACAAAGCAATCTAGACCCTGCCTCCATTCAGGCGCAGAGCTGTAACACTTACAATGGAATGAGATGGAGGAGAGAGCAACGAGCTTACATTTTACAACATCAAAATTTATGTTTCAGTTTATAGTCATGCTCAGTCATTTGTAAAAAATGTGCTATGGGTATGATAACTGTAATGACGGATTTCGGGGTTTTTCTATACACGGTGTCGTTTGGAATTAATGTCTTATAGCGGACCAAGGATGACAAAGAGAATAGGATACCGAGACTGGAGATGGCAGGCTCTGTGGTGGCATCATTTCTTTCTCTTGTGGAGTACAATAAACGGACAGACTCGTTACAGCATCCCAGAGGAACTAAAACAGGGCTCTGTGGTTGGAAATCTAGCTAAAGATCTTGGTTTGGGGCTGTCTGAGATTTTTGACCGTAAGCTGCGAGTCGCCTCTGAGGCTGGTAAGCAGTATTTCAGCGTGGATGCGGGGAAGGGCGAGTTGGTGGTGAATGACAGAATAGACAGAGAGGCTCTGTGTGGACAAAGCGCCAGCTGTGTGTTGCCACTGCAAGTAGTAATAGAGAACCCTCTACATCTTTATAGGATAGAGGTCGAAATAAGAGACGTCAATGACAATGTCCCTAATTTTCTTAGCAAAGAAAAACATTTGAAAATTGCAGAGCTGACAGCGGTGGGTGCGCGCTACCCCCTGGAGACCGCACAAGACTTCGATGTGGGTAGTAATTCACTAAAATCTTACAGTCTTAGCAAAGATGAATGTTTTAATTTAAAAATTAAAGAGCTGTCCAATGGAAGAAAAGTTCCAGAGCTTGCATTAGAAAAGCCGCTTGACAGAGAAAAACAAAGCGTGCACCACTTACTGTTGACAGCGTTAGATGGAGGAAATCCTGTAAAAACCGGAACGTCAAAGATCGTAGTGACTGTTTTAGACAACAATGATAATGTCCCTGTTTTCAAAAAGGCCTTATATAAAATTAGTCTACCTGAAAATAGTCGAAGTGGCTTCATAGTAGCAAAAGTAGAAGCAACAGATGCAGACGAGGGTGTTAATGGGGAGATTGAATACTCATTTGCTGACCATACATCTGAGACATTGTTGTCTACTTTTCAGATAAACTCATCAACAGGAGAAATTTTTCTTCTAGGACAATTAGATTATGAAAACGCTGCAACACATGAACTAGATATTACTGCTAAGGATAAAGGGATTCCTGAAATGGAAGGTCATTGTCGTGTGCAGGTCGAGGTAATAGACATGAATGACAACGCTCCAGAAATTGTTTTAACGTCAGAACCAAGCCAAGTTCCCGAGGATGCACCCAGTGGCACAATAGTGGCTCTGCTCACGGCTCGAGACATTGACTCAGGTGATAATGGAAAAGTGACACTGCAGCTTCCCAAAGATTCTCCTTTAACTCTTAAACCTTCATTTTCTAATAATTATGAACTAGTTACAAAGGGTGGTCTAGACAGGGAGAGTTTCTCACAGCATATCATTGAGATAACAGCCACTGATTCAGGTGCTCCTCCTCTGTCCAGTAAGAAAACTATACCTGTCACCATCACTGATGTCAATGACAACCCTCCTGTATTCACTCAGCCCTCCTATATTGTGTATTTAAAAGAGAATGGAGTACCAGGCTCCATACTGTACTCAGTATCAGCATCTGACCTGGATTCTGGAGAAAACGCCAAAGTTTCAGATTCAGGTTCAGGCAAAGGACCAGGGCTCTCCGTCTCTCAGCAGCAACGCCACAGTCCATGTTTTTATCCTGGACCAGAACGACAATGCCCCCACTGTTATTTACCCCTCCTCCGCTGCCCTGGCCTCCCTCTCTCATCAGAGGATGCCCCGCTCCGCTAAAGCAGGTCACCTGGTCACTAAGGTGACGGCCGTGGACGCTGACTCGGGCCATAACGCCTGGGTCTCCTACAAAGTGGCGGAGGCCACAGACGCCTCTCTGTTCACTGTCAACCTGTACACAGGGGAGGTGAGGACTAAACGTCCTGTGTCCGAGCAGGACGACTCCTCCCAGAGGCTGCTTATAGAGATCAAAGACGATGGGGAACCGGTCCAGTCCGCCACCGTCACGGTGTCCATCCTGCTGGAGGACGGTCTCCATGAGCCCATCTTAGACCTCCGACAGAAAGTGGTCGAGCCCAGCAAGAAAACTGGGAGAATCACCCTTTATCTGATTCTGTCTCTGGCCTCGGTGTCCGTGCTGTCGCTGCTGACTTTTCTCATCTTAGCAGTTAAATGCATCAGGAGCAGCAGAAGCAGCGGAAGCTGCTGCATGAGACGGAGCGACTGTGATGATTACAAGAACCCCAACAGAAACCTGCAGATTCAGCTCAACACCGACGGACCTATAAAGTACGTGGAGGTCCTGGGAGGAGACATGTTGTCTCAGAGTCAGTCCTTCAGGTCCTGTATGTCTCCAATGTCAGAGTACAGTGATTTCACTTTGATCAAGCCCAGCAGCACCACTGACTTTAAGGAGGTCATCAGTGTCCTGGATGCGTCTTTACCCGACAGCACCTGGACCTTTGAGAGCCAGCAGGTGAGCATATACAATAAAATAACATATGCAGATTTGTAAGACAGTTGCTTATGAACAGGGTCCCCAAAGGAAACAAAACCTTTTCTTTTTGTGTCAAATTATTGACAAGGCATTTAAATAGATTGTCAACACTCTGGATGGTTTTTAACCTTGTTTACTCGATATGCTTGAAAAGAAAATATAATAATTATATAAATTATGTACAGATTAAAACTACCAATTTCACAAGCTAGCTTCTATAAAGTTCGTGGCACCGTGACACACAGAGCTTAATAGTGATTATCTTCTCCAGCTGAGAGTTTCAGCACCACAGGGACGGACAGCGACTCTGACCCATGACGCACGGGGCAGGACAGTAGATGATGATGTTTTTGTCAAGGGACAAAACTGAAAACAAGTGAGCATTTAACTAACTCAGGCAATAAATATTTTGATTTATTATATTTACTTGAGTTATTGGCTTACATACATGATGACATTTACACACTCCAATTTGAATCCTAAGAATATAATGTTATTGTGGTGTCAGTGAAATCAAATTTTAACAGTAAATATATTTTATGAGTTACAGGCAGATTTAATGCAGTAATTTCACATTTGTATCAGGTCAAAATGTTGAAGGTATCGCTACATGGTGTTTCATCTTCTTTTTCATGACGGTGCAGAGTGGTTTATATCTCTTTAATGGAGCTGCTCTGTGTTCTCCTTATTGGATGTGAGAGATAGATACTGTGCACCAATAGCATTCAGAACTGTACAAAGAGATCTACTCCCTCCCCCATATGCAGCTTCAGCACCAAAACCACGGTGCTCGGAGTAGGGGGAGAGTAGGTGAAAGGTTTATACACTTGGAATACAAGGTTATATTTTAATTTTATCTTTGACCATGATCAGACGTCTTTTTACTGGAATTTGTCACTCACCCTCTCGGAATATGTATTTTGTCTACATGTTCTCTGTTCCTGTCGACTTGAACTGATATTTTTTCATGAATCAGGGATGACAAAGAGAATAGGATACCGAGACTGGAGATGGCAGGCGCTGTGGTGGCATCATTTCTTTCTCTTGTGGAGTACAATACAGGGACAGGGGCGTTACAGCATCCCAGAGGAACTAAAACAGGGCTCTGTGGTTGGAAATCTAGCTAAAGATCTTGGTTTGGGGCTGTCTGAGATTTTTGACCGTAAGCTGCGAGTCGCCTCTGAGGCTGGTAAGCAGTATTTCAGCGTGGATGCGGGGAAGGGCGAGTTGGTGGTGAATGACAGAATAGACAGAGAGGCTCTGTGTGGACAAAGCGCCAGCTGTGTGTTGCCTCTGCAGGTTGTTATTGAGGACCCACTACAGTTACATCGAACTGAGGTTGAAATAGGAGATATTAATGACAATTCTCCAAGTTTCCTTTCAAACGAATTATCTCTAAAAATAGCCGAATCAGCAGCGGTTGGCACGCGCTTTCTTTTGGAGAGTGCAACGGACCCGGACGTGGGAAGTAATTCACTCAAATCATACACTCTGAGTAAAAATGATTGTTGTTCCCTTAAAATAAAAGAAATTGAAGGTGGTAAAACCGTTCCAGAACTAGTTTTAGAAAAGCCCCTAGATCGAGAGAAAAAAGCTGTTCACAAAATATTACTAACAGCATTAGATGGGGGGTCTCCAGTAAGATCCGGGACCTCACAAATAACCATAAGTGTGCTTGATATAAATGATAATTTCCCGATGTTTGAGAAAAACGTTTACAAAGTAACCCTGGATGAAAGAAGTATAAAGGGAACTGTTATTATCAAACCCAAAGCGACAGATGCAGATGAAGGTTCAAATGGTGAAATAGAATTTTCATTTGGCTCTCGGACACCTGATTCTGTGTTGTCAGTCTTCGATATTAACCCCTTAACAGGTGAAATCACTCTCAAAGGGGAGTTAGACTATGAAACTACCAAGTCATATGACATTGATGTAATTGCAAAAGATAAAGGCAGTCCTGAGATGGAGGGTCACTGTCGTGTGCAGGTTGATATTAGTGATTTCAATGATAATGCACCAGAAATTGTTGTCACTTCTCAACCAAAGCCAGTGCGCGAAGACGCACCAAGTGGCACAGTGGTGGCTTTGATCAGCGCACGAGATCTTGACTCTGCTGATAACGCCAAAGTAACATTACTACTCACCGATGGTTTTCCCTTTAATTTGAAACCATCATTTTCTAATAATTACGCGCTGGTTACCAGTGGTCCTTTAGATAGAGAGAGCTGGTCAGACTATAACATTGAGATAACAGCCACTGATTCAGGCGCTCCTCCTCTGTCCAGTAAGAAAACTATACCTGTCACCATCACTGATGTCAATGACAACCCTCCTGTATTCACTCAGCCCTCCTATATTGTGTATTTAAAAGAGAATGGAGTACCAGGCTCCATACTGTACTCAGTATCAGCATCTGACCTGGATTCTGGAGAAAACGCCAAAGTCTCTTACTCTATACTGGACTCTAAAGTGCAGGACGTGTCTGTCTCGTCTTACGTTTACATTAACTCAGATAACGGCAGCATCTACAGCATGCACTCGTTTGACTATGAGAAGCTGAAGGTGTTTCAGATTCAGGTTCAGGCAAAGGACCAGGGCTCTCCGTCTCTCAGCAGCAACGCCACAGTCCATGTTTTTATCCTGGACCAGAACGACAATGCCCCCACTGTTATTTATCCCTCCTCCGCTGCCCTGGGCTCCCTCTCTCATCAGAGGATGCCCCGCTCCGCTAAAGCAGGTCACCTGGTCACTAAGGTGACGGCCGTGGACGCTGACTCGGGCCACAACGCCTGGGTCTCCTACAAAGTGGCGGAGGCCACAGACGCCTCTCTGTTCACTGTCAACCTGTACACAGGGGAGGTGAGGACTAAACGTCCTGTGTCCGAGCAGGACGACTCCTCCCAGAGGCTGCTTATAGAGATCAAAGACGACGGGGAACCGGTCCAGTCCGCCACCATCACGGTGTCCATCCTGCTGGAGGACGGTCTCCATGAGCCCATCTTAGACCTCCGACAGAAAGTGGTCGAGCCCAGCAAGAAAACTGGGAGAATCACCCTTTATCTGATTCTGTCTCTGGCCTCGGTGTCCGTGCTGTCGCTGCTGACTTTTCTCATCTTAGCAGTTAAATGCATCAGGAGCAGCAGAAGCAGCGGAAGCTGCTGCATGAGACGGAGCGACTGTGATGATTACAAGAACCCCAACAGAAACCTGCAGATTCAGCTCAACACCGACGGACCTATAAAGTACGTGGAGGTCCTGGGAGGAGACATGTTGTCTCAGAGTCAGTCCTTCAGGTCCTGTATGTCTCCAATGTCAGAGTACAGTGATTTCACTTTGATCAAGCCCAGCAGCACCACTGACTTTAAGGAGGTCATCAGTGTCCTGGATGCGTCTTTACCCGACAGCACCTGGACCTTTGAGAGCCAGCAGGTGAGCTGAGAGTCACAAGGCACTGTAAGAATCTGCGTCTGTAAACATTTGCTGAACGGAGTTTTTTTTTTAATTAGAAGTTTTTTTCTTTAGTCTAATCTGTTTTATTTTAGATTCACTAACGATTTTCTACATGAAAATTTATCTTTCAGTTTATAGCCATTTTCGTTTTGCACTTCCCCGCTTGACTGTACATAATATACTGGGTATTTTTCGTCATAATGAAAACCAAATGGTGCACACTCCAGTTTTCATGACTAGTGGGGGTATAACTTTATTAAAACTAAAGTTTATTCTTGTGATAATACTCAGTAAAACAACTGAGTGTTTGCCTCAGTTAGGGCGGCCTGGTTAACGAATATTAGGTTTTCATCACAAATTTTCACTGTACTCATTTATTCAAATTTTAATAAAACACATTCTTATATATTGTTTGCAACAGTTGCAGTGTTTTGCCGTTCCCCAAACAAAAATCGGCAGTTTAATTTGTCCTACGTGGCCTGTATCTTACAATTGGTTGTTGCTACTTTAAAACATTTTGCAGAGCGGATTAGCTTTATAATAAAGCTGCAGTTCAAACTGTGATTGGGACAGGCTGAAAGCTAGTTTGGAAACTCTGCCCCCCTGCGGATACAAATGGTATTATTCTAAATAACAGCTGCTTCATACACTGCTTAGTTTTGACTCTGTGAGCACCTTTTTTTAACTGCATAACACTAAGATGACATCTGCCCTCCATTTGTTTTTCTTGGAATATGTAAAACTGCATTTCACTCTTTGCTGTTCCGTTTCTATTGTCTTCTCAAACTTAAAAAAAGAACGAGGTTTATACTTGCCTGTCAGTGGGAGTGGAGTCAAAAGTTTTCACTGTCTGTGTGAGTGTTTGTGTGAGTTGTGGGGCATTCTGGTCCAGTCCTATCTCCTAATGAGAGGGACGGACTCTGTGGGCTCTCCCCGCCCATGAGAGGAGTGAGGCAGAGCGGAGACAGCAGCGTTTCGGTGAGAAAATGGTTCGATTTTCATCATAGTTTTCTGTTCCAACACGTCCGTCATGGTCACATCAAGACTTCCTATCGCTCTTTTCAAAGCGGAAATGTTTCCTGTCGAGCCTAGTCGCCTCGTTTTGACACTACCATGGGTACCATACGGTGAAAGAAGAAGCTAGAAACTTTCCCATTCTCCGATCCCCGGAGCGCCGCACAATGGACTCCAGACAGAGAACGCGCTCCGGAGGAGGGAGGCTGTGGAGGATTTGCTTTTATCTAGCTTGCCTCTCCCGTGCCTCCGCTCAGCTCAGTTATTCCATATTGGAGGAACTAAGGCCTGGCTCTGTCGTTGGGAATATCGCTAAAGATTTGAGTCTTACTGCTCGGGAGAGTGTTCAGAGGAGGCTGCGTCTGACCTCGGAATCCACAACGTCGTACTTTGAGGTAAAGCAGACGACCGGCGATTTGGTTATTAAACAAAATATTGACAGGGAGCAGATATGCGAATTAAGATCAGCTTGTTCACTACACCTTGAAATACTTTTGGAAACCCCGTTAGAGATTCATCGCGTCGTGGTGGACATTCTGGATGTGAATGACAATGCACCGCTGTTTTCAACCAGCAACATTTCTTTGGAGATATCGGAGGCGGCCGCGCCGGGAACAAGGTTTCGTTTGGAGAGCGCACACGACCCAGACGTGGGTACCAACTCCTTACGCACTTATCATCTCGCAGCAAATGACTTCTTTATTTTGAATGTGGAGAGTAAAAGTGACGGCAGTAAGTTTCCAGAGCTAGTGGTGGATAAATCTTTGGACAGGGAGACGCGGGCCTCGTTTCGCCTGTTGCTCACTGCTGTAGATGGGGGTCAGCCGGAGAAATCTGGCTCAACACTTCTGCTCATCAGAATCCTGGATGTAAATGACAATGCGCCCGTCTTTGACGAGCCTGTAAAGAAAGTTAGGCTATTAGAAAATGTTGCACGGGACACTTTAGTAACGAAACTGAACGCAACTGACGCGGATTCGGGTAACAACGGAGACATATCTTACATGTTTAGTAAATACACTCCGGAACGGGTTCTCAAACTTTTCACAGTGGATTCTAAAAGCGGTGAGATCCATGTGAAGGGTGATGTGGATTATGAGAAAGCCACCTCATATCACATCACAGTACAGGCCAGAGATGGTGGCTCTCCCGCCATGGAGGGCTCCTGTAACGTCATAGTGGACATCATTGATGTGAATGACAATGCACCGGAGGTGACGCTGACGTCACTGACCAGTCCTATCAGAGAGGACTCAGCACCAGGGACTGTGATTGCACTCATAAGTGCACGGGACCTGGACACTGGTGTGAATGGGAAGATTACATTGACTGTTCAACCAGGTTTACCATTTAAGCTCAATTCAGCTTTTGACACACATTACAATCTTATCACTTCTGGCAGCCTGGACCGTGAGACTGTCCCGGAGTACACAGTGGTCATCAAGGCCACTGATGCTGGGTCTCCTCGCCTTTCATCACAAATCACCTTTGTGGTGAAGCTGTCTGATGTAAATGACAATGCCCCCATCTTCTCTCAGCCTTCATACTCTGTGGACATCCTAGAGAACAATGCTCCCAGTGCCCCCATTGCTGCTGTTTCAGCCACTGACCCAGACCTTGGTGACAATGCTCGTGTCTCTTATTCCATTCTTCCTAGCACGGTCCAGGGCTCACCACTTTCTTCTTATGTCTACATTAACCCAGAGACTGGCCACATCTACAGCATGCGCTCTCTAGATCATGAACAGCTCAACGCTTTCCGTATTGAGGTGCAGGCCCGTGATGCTGGGGTTCCTCCACGGACAACCAATGTCACTGTCCATGTGTTTGTGGTGGATGTGAATGACAATGCACCAGTGCTTGTACACCCCTCCTACCCAACAGACAAAGGATTACAGCTCACTGTGCCCCCATCTGCCGGCCCAGGGCACCTCATAAATAAACTTGTAGCAGTGGATGCGGACAGTGGGCACAATGCATGGTTGTTTTACTCCATTTCCCCTGGGCCTAATGCTGGCATGTTTCGTATTGGGGCACACACTGGGGAGCTCCGCACAGCCCGCAAGTGGGCAGAGGAGGAAGTGGGCTCCACTTATGACATTGTGGTCATCATTCAGGACAATGGTGACCCATTGAAGTCCAGTTCTGTGAACATCACAGTAACTGTGGATGAGAAAGGTACAGCCAATGATGCTCCACCAAACCCTCGCCACACACCCTTCTACCATCGCACTGGGATGTCGGACATCACCCTGTACCTCATCATCGCTCTAGCCTGTGTATCAGCGGTGGCCTTTATCACCCTTGTGGTCCTCATGGTACGCTGCCTAAGGCACCATGGTCCAGGGCTGGGAGGCTCTGACTGCTGCTGCTACGGTCGCCACAGGTCCAGCCGCTACCATCAGAGGTCCGGCAAGGACCTGCACCTGCAGCTCAACACTGATGGACCCATAAGATACATGGAGGTAGTGGGAGGCCCCCAGGACCCACACACTCACACCTACAGGCCCTGCTACTCCACCATATCCAGCCGAAATGACTTTGTATTTATTAAA